TACTTTTTCTTGTTTTTCTGCTTTGCCAGTTAAGAGACCGAACAAAGTCAACAAAGAAAAGCGTCTTGAAGTTTCCATGCTATTCTGTAAGTCGTGACCATTCTTTTGCTTTTCCACTTTAATGTCGTTTGCCATAATTTCATAAAATTTATAATAAAGAAATTTTAACAACTTAACTTTTACCTGCTATTAAATTTGATTAGGCTAGCATGCCGTACATTGTTGGAAATTTTCTCATAATAGTATGCGGAGAATCTTCTGGTGGTAACGCTAACGTGGTAATAATAATATTTTTAAATATAATTTTTAAACTCGGCTATGGAATGGACCTGAGCAAATCTTCGGGTCACCAATTCAATGGTTGGCTCACCGAGTTAATTATTGAATTGAATAATTTATTTATAATATTTGTATTATATAAATATACATAAAAGTAATAGAACTATTTTGTATATAAATTTAGTACATCAACATTTTAATAATATTAGTTTTTATAATAAATATTTACCTTATAGATATTTATACAATAAAATTCCATATAGATATTTATACATAATTTTATTTTTAAAATACAAAAATATTTAAAATAAACAAAAAAAATTAATTATATTTTATATTAGTTAAGTAATAATTATAATGTTTAATTATTATATCATATAATAATTATTATTAAAACTAATAACTATTCATATATTTTTTTCATTTCATTAATAGATAAACAAATAATTAACTCGTTTTAAACGCATAGTCAATTCCCTTAAAATCACATAAATAATTGTAATTATATTTGTAATATTTTTTTCAACTAATTCATTAGTAATTATACCTCAAAATTACAAAAAAAAAAAGTTACATTATTCATTACATTTTATGCAATCAATAATCAATGACCTAACTTTTAAAATATGATATAATTATTTAATTTATAATTTTACATAATATAATACATATATGTTGTCCATATGCACATGATAAATTATAATATAAGTATTAATTTTTATTAAGAAAATATACCGGATTGATAACCAATAAATTGTGAAAATATATCTATGGGAAAAAACTCTGGCCTATGTCCATCTCACATGCGAGAGATCATATGGTGTACAGCGATTTTTTCAAATATATTTATTATCATTGTTTTGGTACAAATTATGGCGTATGTAATATGATGGCAATATCCTACCAAACAAAACTTAATTTCATATTGAATATATTGATTATGACTTTACAAAAAATAATTTTCTAGTTTATTAAATGTGCGAGTATATGTGGAGCATCCACTTAAAATATTCGTGCGCTGCTGACCCCCACCATGTGTGCCTTTAGTGGTGGGATCCATGTTTGGAGATTGAAATTATCAAAATACCCTCAGACAGCATACTAGTCCCGCTCCCACTTGTACACGTCACGATGACCAAAAGTCAACCTCCTGCCTTTGCTCTTACTCCAACCAAATGCCATAATAGGGCTTTTGAATCTTTTTTTTTTTTTTTTTTTTTTTTTTTTTTTTTTTTTTTTTT